GGCATACCAACATGAAAATATTATCCCACTTTTTCAACCTATGTTAAAGGTACTATAGTTCTCTAGAAATGAAAAAAAATTATATGAGACCAGGTCTCACGGTTAGCAGGTGAGACCCGCCCTGATGGATGACACGTGGCATTCACAAATCACAAAGCATCTAATCTCTCCCCCCTGATTTCAAGTGGGGGTGGGGTAGATGCTTTGTGATTTGTGAATGCCACGTGTGGATGGGTCTCGCGTGAGACCAGGTCTCATAGAATTCTTTTCCTCTAGAAACAGTCCATTTACTTCAAGAGTGCTAGAAATGCACAAACAATTTCATAACATTGCATACGGTGTCAACTTTGAAATACTACCAGTTACACCGGCAAGCTGACTTGCTATCACATTTAAAATGTTTAAGCAAAAAAACACAAATGTTTTAAAAAGTGGTAGAGAAAGCGCTCCAGCTCCACCTAGCAACTAGACCACTGCCTAGCATTTCTAGGCATTTCGCAAAAAAAAGAGCCAAGTGTATATATACTTCATTATACACTGTAAAATTTTAAATTTGACAAGGATGAGTACTTAAGCATCCAGGCACTTAAAAGCAATCACTTAGATAAAAGACCACGTGTCATCCATCAGGGCGCAGCTTTTTAAACACTAAACTACTAAGGTAGTAACTTTGACATAACATCTGCTATCAAGAAACTAATAAGACTAGTGCGGTCACTACTATCATCTGGAACAACAGTCTTCAAAAGATCCCACTATTTCAACCTATGTTAGGGGTAATAACAGTCCTTTTACATGAAAAGTGCTAGAAATGCACAATTTCATAAAAGCGCATAAGGAGTGAACTTTGAATTAACAATTACACCAGCAAGCAGAATTGCTACCACATCCAAAATGTTTAAGCAAAAACCACCAATACTTAACAAGCCGTAGAGAGAAGCAAGCGCTCCAGCTCCACCTAGTGTTTCTAGGCGTTTTGTAGAGAACAGAGCAAAGTGTATATACTCTTAATTATAAACTGTATATGTTTTAATTTGACAAGGATGAATGTTTCGATCAACGATATATTTACTAAATAGAGTTTCCATACATGTCACTTCTCCTCCTCCTCTATCACTACCCGCTGTTCCTGTTGTCATGCAGGAGACAGTAGCATGCAAGAATCACTGAGTAAGTATTAGAAACATGAATCGGTGACAGAGTAAAGCAGGAAAAAGCAGGAAAAAATAAAAAAACCTTTCAGATTAAGCACTTAAAATCCATGGCCCCACAGCCCTTGGGCGCAGACTAATCCGCTAAGGTAACAGTCAGTCCTATCGTCAGAAACAACACTCTTCAAAAGAAGAGTAAACAGTCGTCGAAACAAGACTCTTCAAAAGAAGAGCTAACCCTCCAGTCACGGATAATCAATCAAGAATGTCTATCTTATGATGGGTTCCCAAATAAAACAGTCACCTAATTTAAGCTACTATTATATTATTATTATTATTCTCTAAAAAAGCATCTTACGAACGAACAATAACGCCATCAGATACTGACATAGACCGCAGTGAGTAGCATTGGTGATGGTATATCAACCTGGGAGCATGACAACACCTGGTGGTGATGCGCACGGGTCTTGCCGGGAGTTGAGACGGAGGATGGGTGGTTCGCGGTTGCTGTACGCCTCCCGCAGCTCCGCCCTGTTCTTCTTCACCACCTCCGCGAGAAAAGGGAGGCTGAACAACCCAGGTAGATTCAATTTCGCTCGGTTAGTTAGAATCAATTCAATTCCCCAAGATAGACATACGCGCAAGCGAGCGAACAAGAGAGAGGGCACGCGCACATCTCGGAGGGGGGACCCTTGGTGACCTTGGCGCCGGGGAGAGATCGTTCCTTCAGCTCCGCCCTCATCTCCTTAAGCTGCGCCTGAAGTTCCGCCGACTTGACCGGGTCTGCCGCACAACAACGGAGGCGTCAGATCCACAAGAAACTAGTAAGGACGGACGCAATGATGCTTACCCATGGCGACGGTAGCGGTTGCAGCGTCAGGGGCAAAGCGGAGGCGGCGGCGGAGCGGGGTGGACGTCAATAACGCACGAACTCCAGACCGAACGACTCGTTCGTAGTGGAGGGGGGATTCGTTCGGGAGGAGAGCCCCCCAAGCCCGAACGCCCCTCCCTGTCGACCCTACAGCTGGTAGCGAAAAAAGCCCGACTGTTTCTATGTTGGGCCAGATTAAAGCCCAGATTTTGCAGTGCTACGAAAAAAAAGGCATCAACGTTAAAGCACAAAAAATGCCATGGGTAAAAAGAAATTGTTTCTTTCAACGACCCAAAAGGAAAATAGTCATGGCAATTTTCATCATACAAACAAAACAAAATGCCATGCAAAATTCATAGTAAAAAATGCCATGATATTTTTAATTAAATTGTATGCACAATTTGAACACAAAATTGTGTGTGAGGAATTTGCCATGGTGTGGTAGTATAAATTGCCATGTTAAAAACATACAATTGCCATGACACTAAAGAATAAAATTTCCATCATGAAAATTAAAGAAAAAGAAGGGAATTTGCTATGGCCCATGATTTCAAAACATAAAATTACCATGGATTAAAAACTAAATAAAATTATTGCACTACCTATAATGAAATGTTTACACATGGCAAATTTAGTAAGTTTTTCTTCAAAAATAGATGGCAAACTTAGGAGTTTTTTTCACTAAAACACAAGGCATCTTTTTGAGCAAATGTAACTGGTAAATGGATTTTATTGAAAAAATATGGCAAAAAAATACTCATGATAAATAAGGAAATCCAGACTACACGACCAAAAAGTTGCCATGCTATATAGTGAATGAAATAAAAATTTGCCATGGCAAAAATGTTTAATTTGCCATGGCAATAAATTTAAATATTTGTCATGGCGACATATGGAAATTTGCCATGTCAAAAATAAAAAGTAAAAACTGTCATGGCAATAAAAGTTAAGAGTTTCCATGGTAAAAAAAGTTAATTTTCCATGGCAATAAAATTTAAATATTTGCCATGGCAGTATAGGTAAATTTTCCATGTAAATTAAGGTAAAATTGTCGTGTCAAAAATAAAAAATAAAAATTGCCATGGCAATAAAAGTTAAGAGTTGCCATGGCAATTAAGGTAAATTTGACATGTCAATTAAGGTAATTTTTCCATATGGCAAAAATAAAAAAGTTAATTTTATTGTGATGATATTTTACTATATACATGAAGACACAAAAAAATGTGGATTGAAAAATGCCATGGCAAATAAAAAGTAAAATTTGACATGGATGTAAAAGTTATTTGCCATGGCAAGTAAAGAAGTAAATTTGCCATGAGCAAAGAGTAAAAGTAAAAACAGTTGCCATTTATGTAAAAAGTGTAAATTGCCATGTATGTAAATGTTAAGTTGCCACGACAAAACAGAAAAAGGTTAATTAGCATGGCACTTTAAAAAAGGCAAATTTGCATTGGCAAGAGAAAAGGTAAAATTGCCATGGCAAAAACATGGTAATTTTGCCGTGTTGCAAAAAAGAAAAAATTTCGCCATGCCATTGTTACAAAAATTTGACATGGTCCATGCACTAGAAAATGCAACATTGTGCTCCATGAGCAGGAAACTGGACAAAAAAAGCACCGTTCTCTGACTAAAAAGAACAACTAGGTATTTTGTGGTATCTAAGTGGAGAACCCAAAACTACGACACATTCCTACCACATAGGCTGGAGCTTCCCGCTTCAGGAGCGCATGCCAGCAACGAAAAAGCAGCAGATGCGTTGTGCTTCTCCATGCGCTTCCGTCGGTGTGTCTCGGTGAGCTGCCATTGGATGCTGTGATCAGCCGACTCACCATGGCCACCGTGCGCCGCGAGCAACAGGCTCAACCCGGTCACCCCGCGGGCGCCAAGTATCGTGCCGCCGCAACCGCGCCTGCGAGCCACTGCTCAGCACCACGCGCCCGCCAGCCCAGGTGCCATTCTCGCCTCCTCCACCGCCATTGTCCTCCCTGGTCACCTGCGGCAAGCCCTCAACACCGCAACCACCGACGGCGGCTGATCTCCTCTGTACGGACAAAGACGTCAAAACGGATCTGGTCGAGAGAGAGAGGGAGAGAGAGAGAACTCGTCGCCGGCCGCGGCGGCGCGGGGAGCAAGCAGCGCACGCGCACAAACGATGCGCGGAGGCCCCCCGAACAGCTCCGCTGGCCGAGCCACGCGCTGACTGCCGCAACATCATCCCGCTGCTCTCCGAGCTCGCCACCGTGGTCCTCGCCATCACGCACCGGCCACCCGTAGCTCGCCGGAGAAATGCGTAGCTGGACTCCATAGACCAACATGGAATTCGCCTCTCTCGGGCGGAGCTCTAGAAGCGAGGGGAGGATAGAGCAGGGGAGAAAGGGGAGAAATGGGGAATGGTGGAGTGGGTGGAGCGTTCGTTGTGGGCGTCGTTATCCCTGAACGCTACCCCTCATCCGACGTGGCACTCTGACATGCTTTAAAATTAGTGCAGAAAAATTGACGATGATTAGAGCGTTCGGGGCGAGAAGCAAAAACACTGGTCGTTCGGGAGTTATCGATTTCGTGTTCGGATCTCCTATAACTTCTCAAAACTTCTGTGAGAGAGGCATCAGACCACCTCGCTTCTGGTCGTTCGGGAGTTAAAAGCAAGGAGGAGAAGCTGGTTATGAGAAGTATTGAGAAGTTGAGAAGTATTGAGAAGTTATAGGAGATCCGAACACGCTCGCTTCTTCTCCTCGCTTCTAACTCCACGCAGCGATTGCAGAAACGTTCGGCTCCATCGGCAGCTTCTCATAGCGTTGCAGCCCAGCTGGCAGGCAACAGGCCTGTCGGGCGCCCCTTTGGGCTGGCTGAAGGCAGCCCAATTCAGTGAACAGGCAGCCCAACTCAGCGAACGAGGATGAGAGGAGAGAAAAACGATTCAATCGAGCGATTCTTTCCTGTACGTGGAGGAGCTCAACTGAAACGTTTTCTTAGGCGGTGGCATATTGGTTGTAATACGGGTGAACTCCAGATTCTTGTTTCGATGGAGCTGGACCGAAGCTGCTCCAGATTTTTGCACTACCAGCGACCACAGCTTCCTGAAGCCAGCTTCTTGATGCTATTTCGTTCGGCTGGACTCCGCTCCAGGAATTTGTGAAGTGTGAAGTGGGAGAAGATCAGAACACGTTGAGGCGCAATGTGGGCTGAATGAGCTCAGCCGGGTTGAAAGTGAAATCCGACAAAGTCCATATTACCATCCTTGACTTCTGTGAGAGTTCAACAAAAAAAATACTTTTGTGAGAGTCAGCATTTCCTCCCTAAACTAGAGAACCGGATGTTTATGCTTCTCAAACTATTGAAACCGGCCGATTCACCTCCCTATGCAGTTGTCAAAGCGGTTTTACTGACGTGGCATCGCGTCAACTGGCTTATGTGACGCCACGTCAGCCATGTGGGAGGTAAATTGAACTTTCATAATAGTTCAGGGAGGTCCACTAGACATTATAAAAAATATAGAAATATTTTTTTCAAAAAATCCAAATATGTTTTTTGGTATAAATGTACATTTTAAAATAGCAAATGATATTTAATGTTATAAAAATCATAGAAAGTTTCTTTTAAGTAAAAAATATCATAGTTATTCCTTTCTTCCTTTCATGTTCTTTAGATAATGAAACAATATTCTAGCTTCACGCCTCTTAAAAGAGAGGCATCAGACCACCAAAAAGTAATTCTATTTTCCATGTCCAATCGCGGACAATTCGTCCAGTTGCTTCCCATGGGTTTTCATAATCGATAAGGAAATCGATCGAATCATCTGTTGAACCAAGAAAAAGTATTTCTATTTTCAATGTCTAATAGTGGATCCTGAAATCTCTACAATAAATTAGATAGGTAGCTAAGGTAATCTAGTTCTCTATACATGAGACTGTTGTCATTCTACTGGAATGATGAATCTATAATACATAAATAATTCATCCCCACTATCCTATTTCTCTATACATGCTGTCTACCCACCTCAGCAGCCTTGCCTCATCATCATTTTTTCTTAATTATTTTGATCGTGCAGCTCGCCATGTCAGCATTAAAAAAAAGGTATGATTGGACTCTCTGGAAACCGAAGAGGCCTCTTTGGTCCTTCGTAGCCGAAAAGAGTCAGCGTACAAACCAATAAAAAGAAGCCCATCGAACCATCTCTTCACATCTCTTGGCCTTTAGGCTAGCCATAGTGGGGTAACTTAGGTAGTAACTTAACACACCCCAGGATAATTTTGCTTATGTGACAAATATTTAATGAGGAGAGAGGTGCTTGGAATAACATAATATGTTACTGTAACATAGCGCTTCCCGAAGTAAAATGAGTCTATAAGACAATAAATGAAACTATCTATGACACTACTACTAAGATACTTTGCACTATGAAGATAGTAACTTAGACGCTTGGAATAATATAATATATTATTGTAACATAGCGCTTCCCGAAGTAAAATAAATCTATAAAACAATAAATGAAACTATCTATGATACATACTTTGCACTATAAAGATAGTAACTGACTTAACACTAGTCAACTTACTCACCACTATGACCAGCCTGAGAAAGAATTCTCTTCGCATCCCTTCCTTCCCTGTATCATCGCAGCAGCCAGGACGGCGCGACGCCATCAACCACCGGGCGGTGACCCGCAACCTAGAGCAGGTGCAGGATCGCCACCGCCTCCGGCCGACAAGGATTGAGCTCCATGGTTCCAGGCGCACCGGGCAGATCCGCCGCCGAGGGGACGACCTCCACCACTGCCCCGCTACCCTGCATACTCTACGCGCCCAACCCCGGCCACCTCGACGACTCGCCTCCGCATGGACGACCTGCACCACCGTCCTACTACCCCAGAATCGACGCCGCCGCCGCCTTTTGGCGACTTCCCCTACCCAAGTGGCGTCTCCAACATCAGATTGGTGTCTGCTCCTTTGCTCTGAAAACGTGTCATGCTGTCCAGGTAATGTA